CGCTAAAAATTATTTTAATTATCGATTATGGTTTTTCTTGTTTTTTATCGATTATGGTTAGGACTCAAAAAGAATAATATTAAACAAAATATAACACATGAACATGATATTTTTCTTAATCATGATATTTATCTTTTTTCTAATCACATATCTATGATCAAATATCTAACCATATGCGAAAACTGTTTATTCGATAATTTAGAAACATTTTTGAAGAGTGAATTAACTTAAAATCAAAAACTAAATGATTAAACAAGTTTCTGCATTGAGAATACCAACATATGAAGAACTCTTAAATAGTTCTCTATTCCAGCCATCTAATTTAGAATCCATCCTAATTTAGAAGTTCATAAAATCTATTTAAAATTCTAAAACATAATTATGGTTCTACTCTGATATAATAATTCTTTTTTTTTTAAAAGACAGTATGATATTTTTTTTTTCACTATGATTTAACTAAAATTAAGAAAATGAAATTCATAAATATTCTTTAAAGATACAAAGTCACAAGTTTGTCTCTTTGAAACTTACGGAGAAATAAAAACCTAAAAGTTTGAAAAATTAATACATTGCATAAAGTTGCTAAAAATGTATTTAGTGGTCTGGGATCAAACTAGGTTGAGCTTGGAGGATTCAAAATTAAAATAGAAAATCAAATATTTTCATTCTTTTTGATCAAGTGATTATATAATTTTCTTAATAGAAATTAAATAGCAAAATAAGTGTAAATGAGTCAGCATCGTTTTAGCTTATTATGAAATCTCACGAAACTATTTGAGAAAATTAACGTCTCCTTCCATGATAAGGACATACGAATGCGACATGATAATTCATTTAGAAACCTCGTTTTAAATTTATATATTAAATTTTGATTTCCCTTTCGCCAAACGGTTACATTTGTTTTCCAGTGAAAACACACGATTACGTTATCTTCCACAAAATTTGTTATGATATTAATTAATACAACAGTAGACGAAACGAAGCTTCCTGATATTTTTATGCAAAACATCTATGTCCATATATTTATATAAAAAGGTAATAGATTTCTCTATACAGTCTTTATATAATGTTGTACTGCGACATTCGTTTCGCATTTTAGCATTGACAGCAAACAAAATGTAGGTCAAATGTAAGAAAATTAAAAAATGAAAAAAAAATTGCACGCGTAAACTATAAGAATTTTTGGTTTTTGTTCATAAAAAAGTAAATTTTTAAACCAAAAAAAGAAAACTGTAAGACAATTAACGAAAAGAAAACTCAAGGTCAAACTAGAACGCATGCGAAATAGATGTATTTTTTTAGTCAATACGCATATGGCTATCGAAATCCGGGTTTTATGTACATTTTTGTCAAAAGCTTGAAAAAAAAAGCAGTTAGGCCAAGATTTTATATAAAGTAATTATTCCCATATACTCCCTCCATTTCAAAATATAAGTTGTTTTAGCTAAAAACGCAAATATTAAAATACTACTTTTTTACTAAAAAATATCATTTAATATATTTAATAAAAATAATTTTCTAATCACACAAAAGACTACAAAATATTAGTGGCCACACAATATTCAATAAAATTAAAAAATATATAAGATTATCAAAACAACTTACATTTTTAAACCAAAAGAACCGACAAAACAACTTATATTTGGAAACGGAAAGAGTATATGAATTTGTATACATGCATATGTGCACACATGTAGTTTCCTGGTAACGTCACAATAGGAGATCTTTAACATCATGTAGTTTCCTGGAAACTAGTTTTTCTTAGTGGTCGAGGTGGTTTCGTAAACAGTCATAATATTCTTACGTTCTAAGATTCTCTTTTGGACCATAAAAATCATATTCGTACACAATAATGGAAAATTCGTCCAAATACACAGTTAGGGAAGAAATGCATCTGTAATAGTATATATGCGTTACGTCATCACCTTGCATGGATAGAGCCACGTAAGCATGACCTTGAAATATTGTATGAAATATAAGTATTACTCTCAGTATTTGGTTGGTTCTAACTTCTAAGTAAGTACATGTACTTGAAAACTATATAGTCAAAATTTTAATTAATTTTAAAAGAGACTTTATTAAAAATATAGAGAAGGCGAAATATGTCCCCCAACTTTGCTATGGTACAAGCT